CCCCTGCAGCCGCTCTCCTAGTCGCCCTTTTTCCGAAATACGAAGTCACACGCAAGATGCTCTTGGGTCTTGCTCCTGCGGACCTCATATTTGCCAAGGTCTCATCCGCGCTCCTTTCTGCCGAAAAGGACAACAGCGCTCAAGCCAAGGCCAATGCAATCCGCGCTCCCGTGCCTCAAGCCTATGCCGCTTCGGCACCATTCCAGCGCAACCGCTTTCCCCCGTATCCCTACGTCATCAAGCGCGGCCTTCGTGCCGGCTAGGTGTGTGGCGGCACCAACCACGCCATCGCCTCCTGCTTCAAGAAGAAGGATGATGAGTGGTATGCCGTTAATGGGACCGCCTCGAAGCCACCAAGCTGGATGGTCAATCGTGCTCCTCGCAAGGTCAATCAAGTCGAAGCGCACGAATCCGTGCAGGCTGCTGTAGCTCCCCCTGCTGATGTGCGCCTCAACATTTCGCAGTGTCCCGGCTCACAAAGCACCTCAGCCACAATAGAGTTCACCCTCGACAGTGGGGCCACTTACACGGTTCTCAAGGAAGAACACTCCTTCAAGCCATACGAGATACCAATCCGTCTACTAGGAGCAGACTCCAGTTTCACAACACACGCCAAGGGCTCCTCCACAGTTCCGTGCCCAGCTTTTCCTTCGGGCAGTGTCACCGGCATGTGTGTTCCCACACTACGCCACAATCTCATGGCCGAACACGAGTTCCAACAGGCAGGCATCTCCACGATCTTCCCAGCACACTCGGATCGCTGTGACCTCCTTGACCCTAAGTCCAACAAGCTCCTAGCACGCTTCACACTCAACAGCAGCAAGCTCTACACGCTGCGTTCACCTGCACCTCTCGCCGCCCTCTCCCAAGCGCAAGCTGCCAACACCACTCTGTGTTTGTGTCGCAGCTTCGCCAACCCAACCATCCTCTACCATCATCGCTTGGGTTACCCCAACTTCCGTACGCTTGCCGACATCGCTTCCAAGAAACTTCTTCTTGGCCTCCCGTCGGCGCTTCCTCCACCAACAGACTCACCTGCACCCACCTGCCTGGACTGCACCAAGAGCAAGCTCAGGCAGCAGCCGCACCCTTCCTCCCCATCCGTCGCAGATGCTCCGCTGGACCTAGTGCACATGGATGTCTGGGGCCCAGCTCCAGTCGCATCCCGTGGCGGTCATCGGTACTTTCTTACACTAGTTGATGACCACTAGCGGTATGTTTCCGTGCACCTCCTGCATACCAAGGCGGAGGCACCTGACGTCATCATGGCATGGGTGCGCGAGGCTCAAGTCACGTTCGGCACTCCTCTGAAGTGCCTCCATTCTGATGGCGGGGGAGAATTTCGCAATGGCAAAATCGATAACTTCTGCGCGGCCCAAGGGATTCGGCAACCTTCACGCTCCCTGAAAGCCCACAGTAGAACGGCAATGCAGAGAGCCGCAACCACACCTTGGTTCAGATCGCTCGCTGCCTATTCAGTTACGCCAACGCACCAAGGTCACTCTGTGGATATGCCCTCTTCCAGTCCCTCCGGTCCCCCCGCAGCCACCTTCGTCTCCGGTTTCTAGTCGCACTTATTGCAAGGGACCGGCTCCGCCTCTCGCATGGGGACCAGCCGCCTTCTCCATCCGGTGTTCGGTCACCCCGCCTCCTCCTGCCAGGGGTGATGTCCCCTCCATCCGTATTCCCCCTCCGTGCACCTCTCAAGGACAGGCATGAGGAGCTGTTTGACCTTCACGCGGTCTGCCAATTTCTCTCTCACATCTTCCCGGACATTACTGACTGCCCTTCCCTCAAGCTTCACCGAGAACCCGACCATTCCGACTCCTCGCACAAAAGAGGAAGCTCTCTTGGGGCCTTATAAGAAGGAATGGAAGGCAGCAATGGATTTGGAGAAGGAGGCGTTCATTCGCAACAACAGCTTTGACGATGTCATTCCCCCTTCCGGTGTGAACATCGTCGGCGGAAAATGGATCTTCCGAGTCAAACAACTCCAAGTCCTCCACTCCACTGTTCAACGCAAGTTACGTGGCAAAGGGTTTCACCCAGAAGGAGTATCTCAACTTTTTCGAAACCTTCTCGCCCACGACCAAGCTCCCGACTGTGCGCGGTTCTTGATATAGCCGCTTGCGGCAACTTCGAGATCAAGTCCATGGACGCCTCCTCCGCTTTTCTCCAAGGCCAGCTCAAGGAGGATGTTCACATGGAATGCCCTGGGGATGGAGATCACTTGTGACTGCCAGCCTTGCATGACCACCCTCTCCCAGTCCTACATCGACAACTTTCTCAAGCGGTTCGACATGGACTCCAGTAACTTTGTCTCCACTCCACTCCCACTACAGCATCAGCTGACGGCCCCTCCGATTCCTTCTCCTGACGCCTGCAAGGACCTGTACCCTGAGCTAGTCGGTTCAGTGATGTATGCCATGATGTGCACTTGACCAGACTTGGCTTACCCGGTTAGTGTCCTCTCTCGTTACTGTTAGAATTAGACTGCAAATACCACTTTTGTATTTGTACTTTTATATCCTAGTTTAGGTGATGAATGTTCTAGTGGATTGGGGTGTACTTACAAATCCCAACCTCACCCAATTGTGATCCCCCCAATCTCCAATTACCCAATTGGAGATTCCGGAGATCCCAATGGGGATTCCCTCCAATTCATCCTTCATCCATACACTCTCACCTTGCCATGTACTTATAGAGCCTTGGGCTCCTTACCTAATCAATCATTTCAACTCTATTTCTTACATGGTATCAGAGCGACCTATCCGCACACGCGGATCGAGGTCCTAATCTCAACGTGCCCGCGCTACGCGCACTTCATCGTCGGGACATTCGTTTCGAGTCGTCGGAATTTCGACGTGCTCCACTCTGCAGTCGCGCCTCTCATCGTCGACCGCCTTCGCGCTCGACCTCGTTGAATTTCTCATCTCTGAAGCATTCACGCTTCTCATCGTCGATTTCCTCCTCGGTTCTCCTTGGTCGAATCTCAATTTCGAACATCTCTTAAAACTCGTTCTCGAGTTTCCCATTAGACCCCGCCAGAATAGGCGAACTCCCCTCGCGAAATCGCCTCCACGAACGTCTCGCGTAAAGCAAGAGCAGGTACACAGGTTGAAGCGGAGCGGAGCTGGTTGCGGAGCTGGTTGCGGAGCTGTGTAGCTGCGGGACAGGGCCTGGGGGTGTGTGGGGGGGTGTGTGGGTCCGGGGTTAGACATAGGCTCAGATTCTGTTTCAAGTCGGCATTTTAACGAATTTTCGCCGACGCCATTTCCTACTTAGCGGCATTTTGATAAAGCCGTCAGAGTGATTTTCAGCAATTCTCGTCGACCAATTTCCAGAAGTGCCGCGCTGCACACCTGTTGGTGCATATTCGTTTGCACGTTATGTGTCGTCTGTTCGCATCATTCCGTTGCATGTGTTTTGTGTGCTACATTGTTTGTGTGGTTTGTTGGGTTTGCATGTCTTTGCTTGTTTATCTTGTGTTTGTGCAGATGTGCTTGGATTGTGCATGGCATCGAGCACATTCCAACGAGCCAAGAATTGTTGGAATCGGAGCACATATGAAGCAGTTACGAAGAGGTGTTTGATGGATTTGTAACAACTCATTGGAAGTCCTTGGCAGCTGCTACACCAAAGTTGGAGAGCCCTATAACGAGGAGGGACCAGCATGTGTGGGGCTTTTGTCCTCACCTTGCAGCTACAACATTTGGGGTTTGGAGGCCAACCTGGCACAGTGTGAATTTTGTCTTGCCAGGCTGGCTGAACCTGAGGATGGGGAGTCAAGATTTTGACTCTTGTCATGTTCTTGACCAAGGGCCTCCAGGGTCCTTCCCTTTCATCCTTCCCTTCCATCCCCACCTTCCAACTGTGCTTCAATGCCTTTCCTATCATGCCTCTGAACTTGTAAGCTTCAATCATAGTGACTCTGAGAACTGTCAATTTCTCCTAGGGCAGATTACTCCCCAGTGCGCCAATCGCCATAGCTCACTCGATAAGCTACGGAATCGAGTGATTCAACTTCAGTCCAAAGCTGACGCTGCAAGCTACAACATATCTGATTTTCAGATTGTTTCACCGATTGGAGTTTTGGATATAGCTTTTCGAAGGTCACGAGTTTTCTGGGCGTCATAACGAAGTGCTGCAGAAATTTCCAAGGAGCCATTGAATCATCTGCTTATAGTCTTCTCTAACCAACAAGTGGTATCAGAGCCCATTATCACGCATTTGGGACCTAAAATACGATGGGAGATAAGGAGGACTCTGGTGGAGGTGATACTTCAGTCCAAGGAGGCAGCTCAACCCAAGATTCTGGCATTGCAGCGCAAAGGGGAGCGCGTACAAGCCAGGGGTCACTGCTTAAGGAGGTGCTGCAGAACTTCACCATTGAGAAGTTCTTTGGAGATGGCTATGATGATTGGGCATGGAAGATGCAGCTCTACTTTCGACAAATTGGCCTCTTGAAGCTCATGATTGAAACGGAGCCCAGGCCAAAGGAAATGGCAGAGCGAGCGGACTGGGATGAACGTTCATCTGCTGGGTATTATCTACTGTCACAAAGCTTGGAGCTGAACCAGAGGCATCACATCATGCATCTGCTGCCGGAAACTGATTGTGGACCCAAGGCATGGGCAGTGCTCAAGGACCTGCACGCTCCGACATCGGTTGCCGCTTCTCTCATGCTGGATCGGGCAACCAAATGATACCAAGTGCGAGACGTGTCTGCTGAGCAAGTTCACACGGTTCCCCTTTCACGGCGTAGCTGGGAAAAGCAAGGCAGCACTGGAACTGGTGCACATGGACCTGGTAGGACCTTTTCCAGTTCAAGGAAAGAAGGGGAAAAGATACTTCCTAACAATAGTTGATGACTGGAGTCGGCTGATGTGGGCATACCCGTTGAAGCAGAAGGATCATGCTGCCTCAACAATACGAGATGACTGGCTCCCGTTCGTCGAGCGACAATCTGGGCACCCATGCAAGAGCATCAGAACCGACCGAGGTGGAGAGTTTCTAGGAGGAGATCTGACTGCGTGGCTCAAGAAACAAGGCATTGAGCATCAGCTAACGACGTCCTATACCCCTCAGTCAAATGGCGTTGCTGAGAGGGCTAATAGGACCATCCTGGAAACTGCGCGAGCGCTGCTGATCGAATCAGGGCTGGGAAACTCCATGTGGCCTCATGCGGTGAGGCATGCTACAGTGGCAAGGAACCGCGTACTCACAAAGGTGGCTGATGATATGTGGGTGCCGCTGGAGAGGTGGCTTGGAAAGAAGCCTCCAGTGGACATGCTTAGAGTGTTCGGATGCATGGCTGTGGCGCATGTCCCTAAACCGTACAGGACAAAGCTTGGAGCATCTGCACTGTGGTGTGTGCACCTTGGGCTTGCGGCAGGGAGCAAGGGGTGGCTACTCTGAGAGTCCTCAAAGAATGTGTTGTTTGACGGTCGGGATGTCAAATTTGTGGAGAACATCATATATGGCAAGTGGGAGAAGCAGCCGGAGGCAAGGGTCACTCAGCAGCTGGAAGAGATCACTATGCACTTCGATTTGTCCGAACCTGAGGATAGCGAAGTCACTGCGCAAACGGCAAGCGGTACTGATGAAGGAAGCAATGAGGATATTGCAGCTGATGCTGAAGTCAAGGATCCGGAGCAGCAGCAGCAGGAGGCTTCCAAAACACCAAGTCTGCCAAAGCAAAGGAAACAGATTGGTGGGGGGACAAAGGATTGGGTGAAGGTGAAAGAATGGGTAAATCCAACCATCTACCCTGCACGTACCAGAATGGCAACGAGAAAGCTGCTGAGCTCTACAAGTGGAGGAGCCACAACTGAGCAACAGCAACAGGCTCAAGGCGAAGATGCAGTGCTGTTCTTGGGTGATGACCAAGAGTCAGATGACGAGGAGCCTGCATACTGCTTTTACGCACCAGTACAACCTCCGAGCATGGATCATGCGCTAGCCGGGCCTCAACGGGGGAAGTGGCTCGTTTCGAGAGATGCAGAGTACAACAGCCAGATGGAGAATCACACATGGGACCTGGTAAACTTGCCAAATGGGAAGAAGGCTATACAGTGCAAGTGGCTGGCAAAAATCAAGACGGATGAGAAAGGAGAGCCATCAGTTTACAAGAGCAGGCTGGTGGCAAAGGGGTTTCAGCAGAAAGAGAAGGAAGACTACAAAGAAGTGTTTGCTCCAACTGCTAAGTCTCCAAAGCTACGTGTGCTGCTGGCGGTAGCTTCTGTGCGCAAATGGAAGGTGAAGCAGATGGACATCGTAACCGCTTTTCTGTACGGCATTGTGGAAGAGGAGGTGTACATGGTTCAACCACCTGGCTATGAGGATGGAACCGGTCGTGTCTGCAAACTCAACAAGGCCATCTATGGCTTGAAGCAGGCCCCGAGATGCTGGTACAACAGGCTGGCCAGTGCATTGGAAGGGATTGGATTCCGTGCGAGTGCATGCGACGAGAGCCTATTCCTGATGGGCGAGGGGGAGTCGCTTGTGCTTCTGCTGGTGTACGTGGATGACATCCTGCTCTTCAGCAGCAGTGACAAGGAGATCGATGGAGTGCAGCGGAAGCTCACAGAGCAGTTCGAGTGCAAGTCACTTGGAGAGGCAAGGTACTACCTGGGAATGCACATTGAGCGGGATACTGAACGTGGCTGGCTCAAACTGCATCAGGGACAGTACATCAACACCTTCGCTGAGAAGTACTCTCTGCAGGAAGAACGGGAAGTGGTTATACCTTTGCCTTCCGAGTTCAAACTCATAAAGGCAGCTGAAGGAGAAGGAGTGAAAGTGAAGACCAGAGGCAATTCCAATCCATGGTCGGGAGCCTACTCTACGCTGCTGTGCATACTCGGCCTGACATCAGCTTTGCTGTGGGACAGCTGGCTCGAGTAGTGCAAAATCCAACAGAAGAGCAGTATGGTGCAGCGGAGAGAGTGGTGCGCTACCTCAAGTCATACCCTACGGTGGGAGTACAGTATTCAGCCTCTGCTCAACTCAGGCAAAAGGGAGTTGAAGTCCTCAAAGAGAAGGGGGAGCAGCTCGGAGAAGGAAAGGTGTTCCTTTCCTATTTTGCTGATGCCACATGGGCTTCTGAGCATGAGGATTCATCATCAGTTGGTGGATACATCTGCATGATGGGAGGTGGGCCTGTAAGTTGGAGGTCCAAGAAGCAGTCTGAGACGGCACTATCTTCAGTGGAATCTGAGTACATGGCGATGTTTCATGCGGCAAAATAAATCATCTGGCTAAGGAGGCTCTTGAAGGAGATCGGCCATGAACAGACTTGTGCGACACCTTTGTTCAGTGACAGCAAGGGAGCCATTGCCATGGCACGCAATGCAGTTCTTCATGGGTTGAACAAGCACATGAGGATCAAGTGGCATTGGCTGCGGAAGGAGGTGAAGCTTGGGACACTGGATCCGATCTACGTGAAAACTCAGCAACAGCCAGCCGACTTCCTTACCAAGCGGCTAGCTGAAGAGCCACACTGGCGATGTGCGAGGATGGCGGGAATGTCCTTGAACTAGAGACGGCGAAACAAGCCGACAGTCTGAGGGGGAGTGTGTTGGTGCATATTCGTTTGCACGTCATCTGTCGTCTGTTCGCATCATTCCGTTGCATGTGTTTTGTGTGCTACATTGTTTGTGTGGTTTGTTGGGTTTGCATGTATTTGCATGTTTATCTTGTGTTTGTGCAGATGTGCTTGGATTGTGCATGGCATCGAGCACATTCCAACGAGCCAAGAATTGTTGGAATCGGAGCACATATGAAGAAGTTACGAAGAGGTGTTTGATGGATTTGTTACAACTCATTGGAAGTCCTTGGCAGCTGCTACACCAAAGTTGGAGAGCCCTATAACGAGGAGAGACCAGCATGTGTGGGACTTTTGTCCTCACCTTGCAGCTGCAGCATTTGGGGTTTGGAGGCCAACCTGGCACAGTGTGAATTTTGTCTTGCCAGGCTGGCTGAACCTGAGGATGGGGAGTCAAGATTTTGACTCTTGTCATGTTCTTGACCATGGGCCTCCAGGGTCCTTCCCTTTCATCCTTCCCTTCCATCCCCACCTTCCAACTGTGCTTCAATGCCTTTCCTATCATGCCTCTGAACTTGTAAGCTTCAATCATAGTGACTCTGAGGACTGTCAATTTCTCCTAGGGCAGATTACCCCCCAGTGCGCCAATCGCCATAGCTCACTCGATAAGCTACGGAATCGAGTGATTCAACTTTCAGTCCAAAGCTGACGCTGCAAGCTACAACATATCCGATTTTCAGATTGTTTCACCAATTGGAGTTTTGGATATAGCTTTTCGAAGGTCGCGAGTTTTCTGGGCGTCATAACGAAGTGCTGCAGAAATTTCCAAGGAGCCATTGAATCATCTGCTTATAGCCTTCTCTAACCAACAACACCGACAATGGCTTGCTCAACCACTTCACTCGCCAACCCGATCCCGCTCCTTCGTCTCGAGCCGGACGGCACATGCTCCAACTACAAGGCTTGGCGCTATGGTGTCGACAAGCACCTCCTCAGTCGCGAGGTGAAGGGGCTCGAGCTCACCGACGTCCTTCTCAACATCGGTGACGGCAAAGAGCCTCCTAAACCCGAGAGGTCCGCCGATCCAGCTAATGCCGCCGCCGAAGCAGTTTATGCTGCTGCACTGCTCAAGTACAAGAATTGGGAGAAGGCCGATGGTGCGGTCATTAGTGTCTTCATAGGCACCACTCCTCCCGAACTCGTCGAAACCTACCACAACTACCCGTCTGCCAACGCCATTTGGCTCTACCTAGAGGATCGCTTCCTGAACAAGACTGCAGTGGGAGTTGCTATACTCATCCCCAGCATGTTCCAAGTGCGGCTCGAGGACTCGCCAGGCATGGCGGACTATGTCACCAGGGTGCAGTCCATTCATGGTGAACTCAAACAGTTGGGGATAGTCTTCCCCGAGCAAGCCCCTGCAGCCGCTCTCCTAGTCGGCCTCACTCCGGCATACGAAGTCACACGCAAGATGCTCTTGGGCCTTGCTCCTGCAGACCTCACATTTGCCAAGGTCTCATCCGCGCTCCTTTCTGCCGAAAAGGACAACAGCGCTCAAGCCAAGGCCAATGCAATCCGCGCTCCCGTGCCTCAACCTATGCCGCTTCGGTGCCATTCCAGCGCAACCGCTTCCCCCCGTGTCCCTATGTCATCAAGCGTGGCCCTCGTGCCGGCCAGGTGTGTGGCGGCACCAACAACGCCCTTGCCTCCTGCTTCAAGAAAAAGGATGACGATTGGTATGCCGTCAATGGGACCGCCTCGAAGCCGCCAAGCTGGATGGTCAATCGTGCTCCTCGCAAGGTCAATCAAGTCGAAGCGCACGAATCCGTGCAGGCTGCTGTAGCTCCCACTGCTGATGTGCGCCTCCACATGTTGTTCCCTGGCACTGCCATAATTAATGAGACGATTTCGCAGTGTCCCGGCTCACAAAGCACCTCAGCCACAATAGAGTTCACCCTCGACAGTGGGGCCACTCACACGGTTCTCAAGGAAGAACACTCCTTCAAGCCATACGAGACACCAATCCGTCTACTAGGAGCAGACTCCAGTTTCACAACACACGCCAAGGGCTCCTCCACAGTTCCGTGCCCAGCTTTTCCTTCGGGCAGTGTCACCGGCATGTGTGTTCCCACACTACGCCACAATTCGTGGCCCAACACGAGCTCCAACGGGCAGGCGTCACCACGATCTTCCCAGCACACTCGGATCACTGTGACCTCCTCGACCCTAAGTCCAACAAGCTCCTAGCACGCTTCACACTCAACAGCAGCAAGCTCTACACGCTGCGTTCACCTGCACCTCTCGCCGCCCTCTCCCAAGCGCAAGCTGCCAGCACCACTCCGTGTTCGTGTCGCAGCTTCGCCAACCCAACCATCCTCTACCACCATCGCTTGGGTCACCCCAACTTCCGTACACTTGCTGACATCGCTTCCAAGAAACTTCTTCTTGTCCTCCCGTCGGCGCTTCCTCCACCAACAGACTCGCCTGCACCCACCTGCCTGGACTGCACCAAGAGCAAGCTCAGGCAGCAGCCGCACCCTTCCTCCCCATCCGTCGCAGCTGCTCCGCTGGACCTAGTGCACATGGATGTCTGGGGCCCAGCTCCAGTCGCATCCCGAGCAGGGCTAATTTTTCGTTTTCCAGGACCCAGCGGTCTCAGGATTCGCGTCACTAAATACCCTGAAAAATCAGCATTCCCAGGGAAATATTTCTTTATTTCAGGATTACTTTGACCTTTCAATCTGAATTTCAGAGTGTTTTTTGGAACTCCTTACATATAGGCGGAACCTGCGGGCACTTCGATGACAAGCAGGACGGACATCCATGGGAGAAGAATACAGAGTACACACTTGCTGCTGTTGCTGTCCCTCAGCACCACACCAAGTTCGACACTTTCCTTGTCAATCGCGACAGAAATGCGTACAACTTAGAGGGACAGTGCGAAGCCTGGCTAAAGTGATATTAAGGGGTTGTGATAGTCTGAAAGCCCTGCACTTCTGTAGTTGTGAAAGTTCGACGGGTCACACCTTCAGATTGTGTGGAAAATTGGTCAGGGCTGCAATGGGGGGGAGGGTAGGGACACAATTCCAGCACGGGTAGGTTTCCATTCTAGTCGGATAGTCAGGATAATTTTTCGCGCAGTCCGGATTTCTCAGAGAGTTCTTGGGAAACGCCCGGAATCAGTCAGGAGGTTTGTGATTCCGAAACCCTCAAAATCAGGATTTCAGCAGGAAAGACCCGGAATGTACCTGACATTCCGGATGTTTACCCTTGAACCGAGAGCCCTGATCCCGAGGCGGTCATCGGTACTTTCTTACACTAGTCGATGACCACTCGCGGTATGTTTCTGTGCACCTCCTGCATTCCAAGGCGGAGGCACCTGATGTCATCATGGCGTGGGTGCGCCAGGCTCAAGTCACGTTCGGCACTCCTCTGAAGTGCCTCCATTCTGATGGCGGGGGAGAATTTCGCAATGGCAAACTCGATAACTTCTGTGCGGCCCAAGGGATTCGGCAAACCTTCACGCTCCCCGAAAGCCCGCAGCAGAACGGCATTGCAGAGAGCCGCAACCACACCTTGGTTCAGATCGCTCGCTGCCTCCTCAGTCACGCCAACGCACCACGATCACTCTGGGGATATGCCCTCTTCCATGCGGCACTCCTCTACAATCTTTATCCGCATCCCCACCGGCCCGACACCACACCTACCGCTCTCTGGCTTGGGGTCACGCCTTCCGCCCGCTCTCTACGCGTCTGGGGGTGTACCGCGTATGTGTTGCTAAGCCCTCACACGCGCACGAAGCAAGGTGGCAAGCTTGGTCCCAAAATCCAGACCTGCATGTACCTGGGGCACAACTCCGACTCCCCAGACTACTTATTCCTCAACCCAATCACCAGACAGCTGATACGCAGCCGTGATGTCGTCTTCGATGAGAAACGCCCCTTCCACTCTGCGACCACGGGCGAGCCTCCTCCACTTCCCCCGGCACTTGTTTGGGCAGACTTCGATGCCCCACCTCCGGCCACTGCCCCTTCTCCAGGACCTTCTCCGTCCGGCGTGTCTCACCCGGCCTCCCCAGTATCCTCCGCAGCGGCACCTCCTGCTCCGCCTTCCCCACGCGTCGAGCCCGGCTCACAATTCTCCTACCGGAAGCGCCCAGTCCCTCCGGTCCCACCGCAGCCGCCTTTGTCTCCGGTCTCTAGTCGCACTCGTTCCAAGGGATCGGCTCCGCCTCTCGCCTGGGGACCAGCCGCCTTCTCCATCCGGTGTTCGGTCACCCCACCTCCTCCTGCCGGGGGTGATGTCCCCTCCATCCGTATTCCCCCCCGTGCACTTCTGGAGGACAAGCATGAGGAGCTGTTTGACCTTCCCGCGGTCTGCCAATTTCTCTCACATCTTCCCGGACATTACTGACTGCCCTTCCCTCAACTTCACCGAGAACCCGACCATTCCGACTCCTCGCACAAAAGAGGAAGCTCTCTCGGGGCCTTATAAGAAAGAGTGGAAAGCAGCAATGGATGTGGAGAACGAGGCGTTCATTCGCAACAACAACTTTGACGATGTCGTTCCCCCTTCCGGTGTTAACATCGTCGGCGGAAAATGGACCTTCCGATTCAAACAACTCCAGGCGAAGCTCCACTGTTCAAGGCACGATACGTGGCGAAGGGTTTCACCCAGAAGGAGAATCTCGATTTCTTCGAAACATTCTCGCGCACGGCCAAGCTCCCGACTGTGCGCGCTCTTCTTGATATAGCCGCTCGCGGCAACTTCGAGATCAAGTCCATGGACGCCTCCTCCGCCTTTCTCCAAGGCCAGCTCAAGGAGGATGTTCACATGGAACGCCCACCGGGGTTTCCTGGCACTTACCCTGCCAACACAGTGTGGAAGCTGAAGCGCCCAGTGTATGGCCTCAAGCAGGCTCCTCGTGAGTGGCACAACAAGGTGAAGGAAGTCCTCCTCGCACTTGACTTCCATCCCTCTACCTCAGATTCCAGTCTCTTCGTTCGTCACTCCTCCGAGCCCTTCTACATCTTCGTCTACATCGAGGACTTCATTCTAGCCGCCAGAGATCCAGCCGACATGGCAGCTGTCCAGTCTGCTCTCAGCTCCGCCCTTCTCATGAAGGATCTGGGTGACCTCAAGAACTACCTGGAGATGGAGATCACTCGTGACCGCCAGGCTTGCACGATCACCCTCTCCCAGGAGTCCTACATCGACAACCTTCTCAAGCGATTCGACATGGACTCCAGTAAATCTGTCTCCACTCCACTCCCACTACAGCATCAGCTCACAGCCCCTCCGGTTCCTTCTCCTGACACCTGCA